ATATTTTGCAATATTTTTTTTTTTTTGATATTTTTGTGCGAAACAAAAAATATGCACAAAATTTGTAACATAATTTTTTTTCGAGTCGTACATACGTTTTGTACTTATGTGTATAGGAAACATGTAGTTTGATCATAATTTAGAATAACTGCAGTGGGTAGTTGCTACACATACAATTTTTTTTTTTATTCTTTTGATTTTTAGTATATTTTTTTGATCATAACCGTATAATACAATAAAAGCGGAATATAGAATAAAATAAAGTATGTGTCTATGCTGTACTCGTATCCGTTTGTCAAAATAAAGAAAAATGAGAAAAATAACGGGAGAAAATATAGTTGATCATGTCAACTCTTTGGATAACAGAATTGAAGAGACGAGTGAATGAAGACACGAGTGAATAAAGACACGAGTGTCATATACAATTTTTACGAAAATGGCTTTATTACATAAATAGAAGTTTTATATGTTTATCTTTCTTTTTTTATATATGTAAAAATCTGTTTTTCAAAAAATGACTCACTTTAAAAGATAGCTTGTCTTTTAAAGTCATTGTGCCACACTTTTGAATTATTTTGCTTTAAAAGATGGTTGATTGAAATCGAAACTTCAAAAACTGTAGTTGACACTTTCATTCACTTGTGTCTTCAATTATGATTAAGTTCTAAATTTAATGTGCAATCTCAAAAATTCGACACGATTGAACAGCATTAGAGTCGAATTTGAAATTCCTTGTGTCAGCTTTTTAAACTAAAAAAAAACTATTTTGATTGTTTTCGACGATGTATAGAAACGTCAATTACATATTTGTAACAACAAATGGAAATTGACAATTCCCAAATATCATGAAATTCATGTCATCAGAAATTTCAGAGAACCACAATATCGAATTTAGCGTGCATTTAGGTTTGACTGTAAATGATTTTAAAATGAGATGTAAAAGCCATCGTGACTTGAATTGTAATGTCAAACCTAATTCGAACATCGTAACTGCTTTGAACTTGAGTTAAAGTCAAATAAGAATTTAGAATTTTACGAAAATATTTTACAATGCAAGCGGCTCTTTTTTGTTATAGAAAAGACTCACTTATCAAAAAAGATAAGACGAAAATTGAGTTAAACGAATTGGATGTCTGCTGCATTTTGGATAATCTGTCAAATCGGCTTAGAATTCGATTTTGGTTTTAAATATCGACACTATCATATCCAAATATCAATCCAGACTTGTACAATATGTCATCGCATAAATGGGGTGACAAATTTATAATATCATTTGAAATACCAATAAACTTTTTATACGTGTACAAGCAAGAAAATGGAATTATTCAAAATTTATGCACGTTCATATTGTACAAGACTTTTCATTTATTTAAAAATGGTAGCATATTTTTTAGTTCTCAAATATTTTATTTTAGTATATATATAGTTTCACTTAATATTTCAATATTTCTTTCAACTGTTTATACAATAGGGTTTTTATTTAAAACAAAAAAAATGGCTAGTCACTTCAATTTTTTTTTTGCATATGAAAAATTTAATTTAATAAAAAGTTAAATTTTCTCTTTAATTTTAAATAAATAATAAAAAATTTGGAAGAGGTACGATGTTTATATTAATAGCTCTATATAGAATTAAATTAATAGCTCTAGTTGATTGATAAAGTTTAGGCAATAATTTAAAGTGTGATGATGTTTGGTATTGAAGACCAATAATTTCTTTAGAATTTTGACATTATTTTTATTATTTTGTTTATTTGCAATAATTAAAACTAATTATTTACTTAAATTACAATTTAATTAACAATTATTTTTGTTAATTTTTAATTTTTCTCTTCATTTATTTTACAATCATGTTCTAAATATTTCATGAATCAATACAATTAGCATTGTTTTCGGATATTGTCTAGGAAATTGAAAATGATTTTAATTAAATTTCATAACTACCCAATTAAAATTAAGATTTTTAGCAAAGCTGCTTAACAAGTTATTTTTTTTTTCAAATCTAAAACCCTTTAATTGTTGTTTTACTTATTTACATTTTTTTGGATGTGATTAACAGTTTTGAGAATATTAAATTTATAATTGGAATTTGACATTGAAATATGTATGTATGATGTCATTAAGAACTCAATTTAATAAATCAAAATTTTTTTTCATTATACAATTAAATTTTAATATTATTTAAATTACAATAAAATTAATTGATAAAACTAATAAAGTTGGGTCAAACCAATGGTTTGTATTGTAGCACTTTTCCCTTCAACAAGTGAAAATTCTGCTTTTAAATACAGCCTATGTATACCTATCACACTATTAAAATTATTTTCATTCATATACAAAACTATTTCTAAAATTGCATATATTTAGGATGATGTATATAAGCAGTTTTTTAAATAAAGCAAAAATTAATATAAAATGGGGTTAACATAATGCTCGATTTTAAGGGTTAATTGTGTGAGTTAAGAAAATAATTATATTTTTTAATGTCATGGAATTTACCGTTAGCTTTTTGTGTTTATAGAAATTTGAAAAAGCTTGCGGTTTCGGAAATATAAGGTGTCAAAAATTCAAATTTTACGAATTTCAAGAGGTGATAACTTGAGAGGGGGTGGAGATGGAAAAAAATTTTCTTCTAACAAAATGAACTATTTATTAATATCTAAAAGCTCCTAAAATTTCAAGCTTCTACAGTCTGGGGTCTAGAAGAAAAACGACATCAAAAATTTGGAAAAAAAGGACTTTAAATAACGGTAAATTTGAGCGGCCATTTTGTTTTTCTTAAGTTGAACTATAGTATACCGCGCAAGGGGAAGCAAGCCACTGCCTTTCTGCGTTTGCAAAATTTCAAAAATGCTTATGGTTTCATTGCAACGAATATTTAAAAAAGGCCATTTTTAGGGTTTTTGGGGGGTATAACTTCTAGAGGGGGGGAGATAGGTAAAAATTTTGTTCTACGGAAATAAGTTTCTAGTGAAGATCTATGTACGTATTAAATTTCAGCTTTCTATCTTCAAAGGTGTAGAAGTTTTGTAAACAGACACACGGACAGACGGACGGACGGACAGAGTGAAACTAATAAGCACTTTTTTCAAAAATTTTTTTGGAAAAGTGCTAAAAATTATAGTCATGCCAAAATCAAATTAACTAAAAAACTATTTAAACTAAAATTAAAATTAGTACGGATGACATATGAATTAAAAAACTCATTTACGAAATAAAAAATAATTCTTAATTTTTTGGTATTTTTTTTTAATTGTAACCATTAAAAGAGCATAAAATTTCCCTTCTTCTTTTATATGTGCGTAGTTGTTTTCCTTGGATCTTCTTTTTAAATCATCAATTATTATTACATTTTTAGTTTCTCATAATATTACTGTTTGTGCATGGATGGCTGCCTTGTCATTTACCATTAATTTATACTTAATCATTATTATTCACATTATTATTACAGTCAATTTGTAATTATTCTTATAGTTGAAGTTGATCATATCTTTCATATTCTATGCTGTTTATTCTTGCATAATAAATTGTACGGATTCTTTCATACATTCTCGTATATATCATAAATATAAAAATATTTTATAACAAATTTTATTTTTAAGATAATTTCTGATAATTTATGAAAAATAAAAATTTTTTTATAAAAATTATTAAAACTTTAATCAAATTATGTTTATGCATAAATAATCTTAAGTTACGAAGTTTAATCTTAGGCCTCGATTTATATTAATGCACGATATATTGATCCTGCGAAAATTGTTAAAATTTTTGCTACAAAACAGAAGTTTTACTGTTTGCTTGTAACTACCGTCTCGTTTTGCAAAACTAAATATTAAAATTAAAATATTTTTGCATATACTTCAGGATTTTAGCAGTGTTTCTGATAGAGGGTATTCTTCAATATCAGAAATTTACATCAAAATAACAATATAAATGGTTTGTGTCTATGATGTAAGGTAAAACATTTTTAGAAAACAGCTATAAATAGCATTGTCAGCACGTATTTCGGAAATCAGATTAACTATCCCCCATCTCTCACCTTGCTTAAAATATTATAAGTTTATAAACAAGATTTTTATAATTTTACGTTAGAAGCTCTAATATTATTGAACAATTATTGGATAATTTGATTGTCCGAACTTTTGCATATAATGTTATTAAATTATATTTAATTTTTTTTTAATTGGAAAAAGTTTAAAAGACATTTAAATGAAAACCAAACCAAACATTTTAATTTTTCAATTCAAACAAATTTCAGTTTCGTTGCCTGTACCGTTATAGAAACCTTACCGTAGTATAAGTGAAATTCGAATCAAACATTTCAATCAAACATTTCGTTATATTATAAATAAGAAGAAACGAGTCGATTATACCATCTGCTCAAGCAAATATTTACAAAATTTCTTACTTTATAAATTACGCATTGAATATAAAATTTTTTAAAACTCGTAATAAAATTGATCATTAATTTAATGAAATTAATTTTTATAATTTATTTGTAAGGGTATTGTATGAATGTATATACGAACCTACACATACATGCAACATGTTCGATTGCATGTATAATTAATTTATCAAGAAATATTATTTAAAGAAACTTTGAATATACTCTCAAGAACGCATAAAAACTTATTGTAAATGTATAAAAGATTATCCAAGATTGCGTATAAGCTTGAGATCACGTTGATATTTTCGTTTTGTTAATTTAAAAATAAATATTATTAAATCCTAGAAGTTCCTGTAAAATAAACTGATCATAAAATTTTGCATTTTACAAATAATATTCATCACTTTTAATTTATTTACATAAAGTTTATTGTTAAATTAAAAAAATTTATTATACTTGGTAAAATATTTTTTTCTTAAAATTTTTGTTTTATAAAATAATTCAAATTCTTATGTGTATAAATAAATGTGTATAAAGTCCAACAAAATATATGAATTGAACGACAAAAATTTTATTTTAATACTTATTTTTCTCTGTTGTTATATTTTTTTCAGATTGTCCAAATTGTGTAGATGAAACACAGTATTCAAATAAATGGACGATGCCATTACTAAAGCTTGGTGAAAAAAGATACTATCTTGGAATCTTCTTCAAGGTAAGCTGCATTCTAGATATTTTTGTTGTTTTTTGTTAATTCATTTATACTTACTGTATATTAAGCGACAATACTTGAAATTCATCTTTTCAATTTAATTTTTTAAATCTTTTTGAAATGTTTTCTTTGTTTGTTTTTTATTTTATTAATCAGAAACATTTTTAAGTTTGTTTTGTTACTTAAAAATTTTATTGAAAGAAAAAAAGGTTCGTAAATTAAACAAGAAAAAGTTATTTACGTTATGTATTTATAATACAGTAAAGACTCGATAATCATATTGGTATGACTGCTAATGGCAACTTCATTGGGACAATAGTGAAATTTAATAATTTTTATTTAAACTACTTTCAATTTCATTTAAAATCCAAAAACAAATAATAGAGGTCAAACCCGAATTCGCTGGACTGAACTTTGTTGTAGCCTGTTTGATCTATAAATTCCGAGCTGCTTTATTTTTCTTAAACAATAGAAGTTACCTGAACTTTATTACGGCCAGATTGGCCTATAAATTCCGAGCTACTTAATTTTTCTCAAACAATATAGAAGTTACTCGAATCAGAATATAATATTATCCAAAGCATATCGAACTAAATATTCGGCATTTTTAAATATTCGAGCTTTCTCGTATGATGGCTTTTAACTTAATATTCAAATGAAAATTACTTACGATATTTAGGGCAAGGTTAATTTTCAAAAAAATTTTACTGTTTTGATTTAAATAAAGTATTCTGAACTTTGTCAATTGAGGTTAGACTCAGATAATCCAGTTTGATATGTAAGAATTCAAGAAGGTATAACAAGTACATAAATTATAGAATGATATGTTTTTTGCTGTTGTGTACATTTGCTCAGTCGTCAAAAATTCTTGTTAATTGTCGAATATAGTAAATCTGAAAAACTTTTCTCTGATTGTAACAGTAGAAAAATATGATTGGTCAGCATTCTACTATTCTTGGAGGATAATAAAGGAAAAATAAATGCATGATCAGAAGTTTTTATATTTTATGTAATTAATTTTTTTTTAGATTAACAAATGAACGTTCCTTTTATAATAATAGTACTTGTTTTAAGGCCGTAAACAATTTATTCGAAAATTCTCCAATTATCGAACTCTTACTGTATAGAAATTTTATTGAAATTTAGTTAAAATGACCCTTTGTATATGTGATAACAATAATAATGTATTCTCAATCATTAAAAGCACTATGATATCAGCTTTTATTTTATTGTTGAAAATATTTTTACAAGAAAAATTAAAGAAAGACTGTCTTGTCTCTTTAGGTTTAAGTGCGAATAAATAAAATACCGAGGATTTTTAATTTTTTTGATTATAATTCGATAATGATTTAAGAATGAAGGCCTAAAGATGTCGGAAATTGTAATTTTTATTTATTTATAAAATTTGTTGAATTCTTTATTATTAATTTTAATTTGGGAAACAATTAACATTTATTTAGAACAATTAATTAATACATTGATAATAATCTGTTTCTGTCTCTTTAAGATTATTTTGAATTTTTTTTGAAAATGAATAATGTGAAAAAAATTATAAATGATAATTATGATAAATTACAATAAAAAAAAACAAAAATTTCGAAAAATTAATTTTTACTACTTTGATAAATTTTTATAAAATTTCCGTCATTCAATAAATTAGTTATCATTAAAGTACTTTCATAATGTATAAATATTATGAGTGGCAAGGCCATTAAACATCCCTTATGATCTTTTAATTTGTATTGTTGGTAATTAAATATAATTACTTTAATGTTACAACCAGCTTCTAGCAATTTACCTAGGTATTTAGCATTTACAAAATTTCGTAGAGAGAAGAGAACAAGAAGGCAAATAACCGAAGTCTCTTGTGACTTAAATTAGCCTCTAAATGCTATGTATCGTATGATGGGTGTCACATTTGAATAGCTTAGCTTAGCTTCTATTAAATGGTTTAGATATAAACTTCGAGGATACAAACTTATACTCTCAATACTATCTGACATTTTAAAATTTCGGACAACCTTATATTACCTTACATTATACACATAAACTAAAGCTTAAATTTTGATTGAAAACTTCTTGCATCCCAATGGCATGTACTCGGAAATATATTCCTGTCGAAAGCATTTTTTTTCATAACAACTTCATATCTTTACCGCAATATTCCAAAAGTTCTGCCAAAATAATTTTTTTGCATCACTAATATTATATGACATTTTCATCATTGCCACCATATCATCTGCACATTCAACGGATTCACATTTGCAGGCAATTTTTTAATTTTGCATAGAATAATCTAAAATAAAGGTTATAAGGATTACTTTTTAAGAATTTATGAGGCTCTTTCAAATTCACACAAATATTAAAAAACAATTTCATACACCATATCCAATAGAATCCCCAAATCTAGCCTGAATGAAAAAAAAATTTGGTAGTAATCAAAAAAATTCACTCAACCAATTACACACAAAGAAAAAACGTTACTTAAACTCACCTTTCTCTTTCTCTTCCTCTACGATTCTCTTGGCTTAAATTAAAAAACAAATTTTTTTTTCTCTATCAATTTCCATATTGAAAACCAAAGAGAAAATTGCTATCTTTTTACCATTATAATAACAGTAAAAATAAAAGAGAAGAAAAAAAGAAAGTTGATAAACTTTAAATTGTTCGAAAATCCATTTTTTTGCACCAGGTGTTGTTGGTTGATTTTGATCTAAAAATCTTCACCGCTTTCTTATACTTGTACTTTTAATAAGGAAATTGTTTGTGTATAGAAAGAAGAAAGGAGAGGAAAAAAAAAATTAAAAAAAAATTTTTTTTTATACCTAAAGGAGAAATAAAAACTTATAAAGCCTTTATTTAAAATATCCTTAAAAGGCAAAAATTTAATATGATGCTTTCGCTCCAATATCTTCGAGTTACTTTTGAAGATATTTTGTGAAACAAAAAAAAAAATAAATGAATTTTTTTTTAATAAAACATAAACTTAACACTTCAATAATAATTTTTTTTTTTGTTCCTTAAACCCGTTAATGATTATGAAAATTTTTTTTTATACTATAAACTTGATAAGAATGGGAGGATTGGCGATATAACCATTAAACGAGTTGTTAGTCTTGAAAATTATATAAGATAATCATTGTTGGCTCATAAATGAAATATTCCTCTACAATATTTTTAGAGAGGAAATATTATAATTATGTGGTATTAATATTGAAGATGAATATTGGTTTAATATTCTTATTTGCCCTTATAAGTCGAGGGCTTATGGTTAAAAGGAACGCTTTGATTGACACAGGAACAATTTGTATATTGAAATTAGTAGAAAAACGTCGCTCTACGACTATAAGACTCTTCTTAATTCTATTATGAATATTTTGTAATGTAAGTTCCCCATCTTTAAATTTTTGGAGTGTTTGTTAATGAGGAATAACAAACAGGTCTAACTTTCCATTAGCGTTTAAAATATTTAACATGTTTGACTTCCCCAATAATGCAATGTTGTATGAAATTGTTCCAACAACTCAAATCTTATATTTTCTAAAGTTACGCTCAGGTGTAACATTCTGAGCAAATAAATCTTATCATATGTTTTCTTATCAGATTTATTTACTAATTCCGTCATAAGAACTGGTCTAAAAATATTTTTATTAGATTTTCATTTAATATTTTAATTATGTAGTAAAGAAAACTGTCATGCATTTTTTAAATTTGTACATTTTTTCATATTGTTTATGAATATATGCGGATCACAACTATATGGACACACCCATTTATAAATTCTTGTGAATAATCAAATTTATTTTACTCTAGATTTCCATATGTATTCTTTCAATATTTTACAATTATATAAATATATATATGGAATTACAGAATGTTTTTTTACATTATAATATAATTTACGAAAGAATTAATTTTCTAAAGAGACCACTTTTGGGCATTCATTACTAATATGTGCGATAGAGCTCTAATCTATCTGATGGTGGACCTCTATCACATACTGATAAAACTCGAAGCTTTAAAAATTTACGTGATTCATTCTATTCAGGATATACCATACGGCCAGCAGAGCTCAGAAAAGTGACTGAAAATTGAATGTTTATAATGCTTTTCATTAGAACAGCTGTAGTAACCGTGTGTCCGAAATGATTTTCGAATGTTAATTGCCGCACTTTAGTTTATTTTTTATACCATTTCAAGTTTAATTTAAAATAAAACACCCTATATAATAATTGTTTTTGACCACTGCATTGTTTTGAAAAAAAAATGTTCGAAATATTTTATTTTTATTATAAAAATCTGTAAAAGAAATATCAAACTGTGCATAAGAGATTAGGTCATGGTGCAGTTTTAGAAAAATAAATTCTTGCATATTTTGTAGTTTATTTTATTTTTACTATTTGTTATAATTTGTATAATGTTTTAAATCATAACATAGAAATAACTTAGAATAAAGTTAAAGAATTAATTTTTAATACAAAATGTCTATAAAAGTCTAAAGTGGTGACGCGGTAACATACATTAAATTACTATACAATAGAATATAGATCACAATCTTATCACATATTTGAATTTTATAAAAATGTTATACGAAGCAGTCGATCGTGTATTACCTTTAGTTAGTCTGTATTATAAAAATATTATTCATGCGAACAAAATTACCATTTAAATTCAATGTTAGGCTCTTATTTTTTTCATAATAGATGTCACTGCTTAGATTGTTACTGTTAAGTATTGTATACTGTTAAGTATTACTTGTTTCCTCGCTTCAATATTTCACAGGCGAAAATATTTCTTATGCCAGAAACGATCCAATAACAAGTATATTTTTTCTTTTTTATTCTTTAGTCACTTCCACTCGTGTTAGTAAGACGACTCTTAGCTTTATTCTTTAGCCTATCTGTTCTATTAATGTGAATGCTCCATTTTTTTCTTACTATATAAGTTTAAACTACTTTAGCGGACAAATATTGGAATTTAGTTAATTAACTTTATCTAGTTTT